CCCCCTCCTTTCACTCTCCCTTTTGCCCCCTGCCCTCCTCTCCACCACCCCTTTACTCCGAGCCTCCTTCTCTCCGGTCCCGCGTAATGCGAGACAATTCGACGCTGCCGTCAAGTCGCCATACCGCCCGCTGCCTTGCGCGGTGCGCCCCGCTTCCTCGCACCTTCCCCTTCCCTGTCCTGCTCCTCCTCTCCCCTCTCTCTCTTTCCCGCGCACGCCACGCCTACGCCCTGCGCTCACCATGCCTTTCCTCGAGGCGCTCTTCCGGCCGCTTGGTTTGTAAAGGAACTGCACGACTCGCACTAATGCTCTCCCCTCCCCCCCTCCCTCCGCCCACACAACAGCAGCAGGCAGGCAGAGCTGGGAAGAAAAATCACGCGCGAAAGGTCTGTAGATCACGGTAGAGATGGGGCTGTGCCGGAGCGGGACTGGCCCTCTGTCCCGGCGGCTTGGTGTTGCCCGCGCGCTGCTGCTGTATGGTGTACCGAGCGAGAGGAGAGAGAGGAATACTTTTTTCGAAATGAAATTCTTTTCACCCTGGGAGTGTGTCGGAGTGTCGGACAATGGGAGAGGAGATGCGGCACGGATGAGCTTCAAACTTGCTCTCAGAGGGTTTGTAATTAGCGAGCGGGAGTATCAGCGAGGGAGAGGGGGTGAGAGGGAGAGGCTGAGAGAGGCGGAGAGTGTGAGGGGGAGAGGGAGCGAGGGAGGGGCGGAGCGCAGAGCTAGCGGGCCATCCAAGTCAACTTATGACCTGCTTTGCTTGCTTTTATCTCTATCCCCCACCTCCACTCGCCTTTACTCTTCGGCTGCTCCTTTCATCCCACCTTTCTTCTTTTACCCTCTCTCTCTCTCTATTCCCCCCCCCCCCATCTCTCTCCCTTTCTCCCTCCCTCTCCTGCACTGCCTCTCTCCACCAAAGCCCTCGCTGGTGCAGTGCATTTTCAATTTGGGTTGGTTCTCAGTAAGTGGTCCAGGGCTAAACTTGCCGGACTCGCGTGTAAGGCTGATGTAGCGGGGCGGGATGCAGCGAGTGGCGGCGGGGGTAGCTTCACTGGCTGCAGCGCCCGCCCTGGGTCACTGCCACACCCCTTTGGCGGCCATGCGGTCCTGGCCAGGAAGTGACACGCCTCGCCACGCCTCGCCACGCCACGCCTCGCCACGCCACGCCCCGCCACGGGCCAGCAGCCGGCTCGATGAATGCCAATTTCCCTTTCTAATTGTGCGGAGGGTTTCCTAATGGAGTATCGAGGTCAGTGGATCAGCTCGCTGCTCTTCCGTTCCTGGCTCTGGCATCCTGCCTGCAAAGTCCGGCCCTGAAGGCTTGCCCGCCCCTGTTCGCTCGGGTTGTCAAACTAGGACGTTCGTCTGGATGCTCCCCACCACCCTGCTTCGCACACGGTGTGCCCCCGGCGGCGAGGGATCGCCCCCCCCCCTTTTCTGTCACCACCCTCCATGCGAGGCAGTCTGGCAGCCGCGCCAATCAGTCCGTTGTTTGATAACAACTCTTAAATTTTGTATCCGTTAATTTTGTTTCTCGTCGTCCCACCCGAGGGGGTTTTCACTCGGAATTTTCGTGTACAGTGTATTACATATTATGTGTATTACGCGGTATTACGCCAGTTTTACACAAGCTTTGCAACCCAAATTCTACCATTTTAGGGCATATTTTCCTATTTTTCGGTATTACATTACGCGTAATACCTAGTTTCGGTGTACACTGTATTACGCAAGTGAAAACCCCCTCGGTCCCACCCCGCAGTTAGCGTTTTCCTTCCGCGATGATTGTCCCTTTTCCATACAGAAGATCCAAATAATGAAAAAAGAAATTATATTTAAAAATCACAAAAAGTGGCATTTATTGCAGTGGCACATGGGTCAACCAACAGTGTCTTACCAACAAACCGGCTACGAGAACATGACGGTGGTTGGAACAGTTATTCTGATCTTTTTTCGAGAGCGCGGGTTTGCGTGCGTACTCACAGGGGCCATGGTGCCCTACGGGCTGAGGGAGTAGGCAAAAGGCAAACCCCCCAGGCACCGGCACGTGGAGCTTTCGTGTGTCGTGGCGGCACGAGTCTGCTCGTCGTCCTGCCCTTTGAAATTTGCTCCCATTTCAACGGTGCCGTTGCTGACGTCGTCGTCGGCTGTCGTTATTCTTGTTGTAGTTCACTGTAAACTTTGAGGTAAACTCTTTACCCTACTTTTCGTGCCAACGCCTTGGTGACAAAACAGCACCTACTCAAACGGCGGTGAGGGAGTAAACTTTATATTAACAAAGAAACTGCTTTCGTCGACAGTTTTACCTTCAGTAAAGTATAGTTCGTTCATTGCCGCCACAGGAAAAATGATTTTATGACCAATATTTTCTTCACATAGTCTCAGTTTGATGGATTTGCACTTGCCTCTCACGAAAACATGGGCTACCAGCGAGTGAGTGCATAACGCGTCTCTCCTTCCCTGGAGAGCATTTTATGGCATCGCGTCCCTCTGCCTCTGCGCGTTGAAGTTTGTCATCGGCACATCAATTATTGGTGGGAGGAACGGGGTGGGGGGTAAAGCTGTGTGTATTCCAAACGACGAGCAGCAGCGCCGAGACGAATAGACTTTTGGGTTTGTTTTGCCGACATTATAATGCGATCCATTCAGAGCAGCCAACGTGCAGCGCTCGGGCTTGGGAGAGAAGTGTGGTACCCCCCCTCTCTCTCTCTCTCTCTCTCTCTCTCTCTCTCTCTCTCTCTCTCTCTCTCTCTGCAGCAGAGTCGCGGCATTCATTTAGGTTTGCATTGTGTGCGCGAAGACGTGTCTGTGAGAACCTGGACGCGCCCAGCGCCACGCCGCGTCCCAGTTACGTAATGAGTAGGGAAGGACCGCGGCGCCGTCGCGCGGCCCTCCTCGGTAGCACCCGCGCTTGGATGGTGGCGCGTGAAGTGGACCCACTGGAGGGCGTTTAGTTTGCAGATTTCTAACAGTTTTATGCGTTAAGCGGATATGTAGTTTCTTCGACATTTTTCATACAGTATCTTATTCTAACGAGCTTTCTTGCGTGTGTCTGTTGCAGGTGAGTGTCGTTGCCGCTGCAAGGCCTCCAAACCAGGCATCTGCGGCCCGACCCCGCCATCCGGATGTGAGTTATTGCCCGGCGCTTTTCTGCTCGCGTCCGGGAAAACTTCTGAATAATTCTAAAAGTGTTTGTTATGCAAACGCATTTTGATGCAAATGCTGATTAGGTGCGTCTCTACGGTGTGGAGTGGAAACGTATTGGCCTGCCGCGTACTATGGCCCTTTTGCGGCAGAACGAGCGAGTCACCCGCTCGTGCAAATCCGTTAATGTTCCCCGCTGTTGATTACCGCTCCCTGCAGCAGGAGGGGGGCTGCCCGCCTGCATTTTCTGTCGGAATTCGCTGTGAAAGGCCCGCCTGGTGCGGGCTCGGCCCGGTAAGGGGGGGGG